AATATTCTATAGTAACTTTTCATATCTCTGATAACTTCATAATCAGACTTTCATCTAATTAATTGATATAAATTAATTATTTAAATAACTTATTTATATATTTTAGAGTACTTTTTGAGATTTTAATATTTTATTAATAAAAAATTATTATAAAGACTATTTTTTATTTTAAATAAATGTTAATATTTATTAAAAAAAATAATCTTAAAATAATTATAATTTGTCTGATTTTGCTTAGAAAATAAAAATATTATTAACAAGTCTATATATAATTGTCATATATAAAAAAATTAACTAACTAGAAAACAGTAACTAAAAACTTAATTGAGAAAAAATAAACTAATAATACTTTATCTTCTTAGTTAAGTTTCAAGAATATACAAGATATTTTGAAACTGATAAGTTAGAAGTTATTAATTTGAAATAATCTAAAATTAATAAGACTAATAAATTTTATAATTCTTATTTATCTTTTTCTAAAATAATAAAAATATTAATAAAAATTTTATATGATCATGAGAATAAAAAGAAAAAATCACTAATATATTTATTTAATAAATTTTAAATGATTATAGAAGAGAAGAACACAAGATTAAAAAATTTTTTTAATAAGTTATATCTTTCATCAAACTTATAATCAAAAAATAAAGAAATAAAAATATGAATAAAAAAGTAACTTTTATTTATATATTATTTTCTTTATGAAATAAAAAATAAGTTTATGATTAATACTAAAAGAAATTTATTTTTATATTTAGATTCAATTGATATTTTTGATATTACTATAAAAATACTTATAGAATTAGGTATAGTTATTATATCTTATTTAATTATATAGTATAAGATTAATATATTTGAAAAATATACTGAAGTTATTAATTTGATACTTACTAGATATATAAAAAAAGTAATAGTATTAAATATAGATAATTATCATAATATTTATATCTCATAAATATTTAATATAACTATTACATTTACAGTAGCATATTTAATTATAATATTAATGAATCTAATTACTAATCAGATAGTTATTTCTCAAGAAAATATATATAACTCTTTATTAATTGATACTAATTTAATTAAATTTAATATAGATAATTAATTTATAATATCTTATAGTCTTTTATATAATTAATATTAGAGATTTTACATAGTTTATAATGATATAAAATTAGAAAGTTAATTATATATAGTTATGATATTTAATTATAAGAGAAGTATTATAGTTATTTAATAAAAAATATTATTCTTATAAATTTATAAGAAAATTAACTTCATATAATAGATAAATATATTAAAATTATTAATATTATTATAAGTATCTCATCTATATGATAATATATTAAAAAAAAGTATACAATTTTTCTTGTTACTAATTGATTTGAATAAATTTATTTTAGAATAATAATATTATGCTATTTGATTTATAAAGACTCATATAATATTATTAATAATATTTTATCTTTTCTTCTAATTATAGGATCTTTTTATATTTTATTGAATAGCTAAGAATTGATTTTTTTTCAATATTAATTTTTTTTCATAGAGATATATAAATATATTTTTAAATTATGAAAGTTTCTTGCTCAAACTTCTAAGTCATGGCATATTAATCTTCTTTTAGAGATTTTTTATAGTGATTGACAAGAAATTTTAAAAATAATTAAAAAAAAGTTTGAATCTTTATGTAAAAATATTAAGTATCTTGTTCTTAAGGATCTTCTTGATAATATAATTCCTCTTATTTTAGATATTTATGTAATATTTTTTAGATCTGGAGATTTTAATACTTATCTTGAATCTTGCTTTTGTATTTGGATATTATTTTTTAAATTTAGTCATAAAAATTATATGAAAATACTATTAATATTCTTTTTAATATTTTTTATTAAGAATCAATCAACTATCTAATTCTTGAAGTAATTAAGACTAAACTTTTCAAATTTTCAGATATAATTATTGAAATATTTCATAATTTTTTACATAAAAGTACTTAAAAATATATTGAAGCCAAGCAGATTATTAATTATAGCTATTATATTAATTAATTATGTTTGAATAGTAATGGATTTAAAAAAAATTTTGTCTATAATTTTATATAAATAGTATATGAGTATTCTATACAAGATATTTCTAATTTAAATATTTTCTTCTGTATTATTTTTTTGAAATATATATACAGTAGTGATCATAATTAATGTAACAAAAAAATAATTTTTATTATATTAAAATATCTCACGCCAATTTGAGGATATTTATTTTTTAATTAATGGATTTTGTTTATAAATAGTATAGTTTTTAGACTATCAAAACTAAATATGGATACATAGAATAGCTATTCCACAAATTATGTATTTATTTGGTAAGTACTATTATATTACTTTTTTTCTTTTTCATATATAATAAAATACAACATAATAAACTTAACTAACTACTAATTTTTTTTTATTTAAATATATATATTAGGTAGAATTCAATCTATTTTACCATCTTGTATAATTATCTCATGCCTTTATTACATCATGAATTCTTTCTGGTATCAAGTGAATCAGGTTGTTACAGGTTTTAACATCAATTTCCTACCAAATCTATTGTATCTTATTCTACAAGTCTTCCTTATCTAAAATTTGCCCAGGAAGATATTGAAGATGACAATTAACCTCATTCCATAAATGCTTGATGAGGTCTAGATCAGGAGATTGTGGTGGCCAATCCAAAACTCAAACTTAATTGTTCCTGAACTACTATTTTATCAAAATTGCTATATATTTAGGATTCTCATCTTGTTGGAAAATGATATTTCTAATAGTAAATCCATGATCTCTAATAGTATTTATAAGATCCTCATGAAGTATTTGTTGATATAATTTGGTAGTCATGATATCATCAATCTTATAAAAGTCACCAATACCTTGTAATATAAAACAATCCCAAATCATCATGAACCCATCTCCAAACTTTACTGTAAGCTTAATATGAAACTAGTTTAATAGCTTCTCATGATATTTCTAGTAATATTGCTTTCTATCTGAACTGAAAATTTTAAACCTAGACTTATCGGATCATATAATCCTTGACTAATCTTTGATAGTCCAATTTTCATGATTTTATGCAAATTCTAATCACTTTTTTTGATGTACTTTACTTAGATAGGGTTTTTTTCTTTTTATTTCTGATACCAAATCATTATCCCTCAATATACAACAAATAGTAGGTGATAATATATTCATATTTTCTTTTTCTTGAATGCATTTTTGGACTTCTACTATTGATAAATACCTCTAGGAAGTAATAAAGTTGACAATTTTTCTTTTTATTAGTTCATTTATAGCAGATGATCAATCAAACTTTATCGCATCTTTAAGAAAATCTTGTTTGCACCATCTTTTATTAATACAAAAGACTATTAAGAGGCTAATATTTTTTAACTTTACTATTTGTCTTATTGTATATCCATTTTGAAGAGCAAAGAAGAATTTGTGTATACTCTTCTGGAGTTGTGTGATATCTTTGTGTTTTAGTTTGTTGTTCAAAAAGCTATAACATCATATGATAGATAAATAATACATAATAAACTTATCTTTTATATAATATTTATGTTGCATAACTATGACCATTTGATTTTTGCATGAGAGGATCATAAATAATGTAACATAAGTTTAGTTCTATTTCTATACTTATCTAAAAATAGAAAATAATAATACCTATTAAAATTTTAATATATTAAAACAATGTTATTAAAAAGCAAAATTATTAAAAATACAAAAAGAATATATTATAATTTTCATGAAATATTTCAATTTGATGAAAAATTTTTTTTTATTACATTAATTATGATCACCACTGTATGTATATTTTATTATAAATTACTATTAATATTTTCATCATCTACTATAGATTCATCTTTAAAAAAAAAGGAAAGGCAAAAGAAAAATCCAAGAAATCTATTTCTTTAACTATAATAAAAATGCTGAAAGTATATTTATCTTATCTTTTTTTGAGTTTTAATACTTTACATAAATCCAATCTATTTTATTATTGTAATTTAATTAACTATCTTGTTTTTTTTATTAATCCAAATCTGATTAGAATTCTAGCTTGCAGTCATTCTTATCATGAATCCTGTTATATTAATAATGATTTTAAGTATTTATATTATCTTGCATTTTTACAAGATGAAGTTGATCAATATATTCAGTCTTTACTTGAAAGTTTATAGAATTTGAATAAGAAAAAAAAGAAAAAACAAAGAATAATGTTTCTTCTGATGATAATGAAGAAATGAAATTGGTAAAATATAAACCATTTGCATTAGAGAAGGTAATTTGGAAGTTTAGAATATATTAAAACAATATTTATTTATTTAAATAAAATTTTATTCATTATATAATAATTACAGTATATTACTCTCATTCTATCATTATTGTAAATTTATATAAATTGTATTGACACTTAAATTTTAGCTTAATACTGTAATATCTATATAAATTAATCAGTTGAAATTATAAATTTTGATTGGTTAATTATCACGAAAAATCACGGATAGATCTATAAAAATTAGCCAATCATATGAATGTCTGCCCATGACTGGTAATCATGATGTTAGAGTCACAAAACATTATCTTTAAATGTAGATAAGCTACAGACTCTTCAATATTCTCGATAATTTTTTTAAAATCATAGAGCTAAATCATCATAATCGCATAGTTTCTGGCCCTCAACAAGTTCCATAACTATCATATATAGACCACAATCCTTAATATTACTGCACAGTTTGTGTGCCTTTTGGTTATAACTATGCGCGTGGATTATCAACAAGTTTCTCCTTGTAGTTGAATTCAATGTTTCCTACTTTTTAAAGGGAAAAAACTGTTAACAATTTTCTTTACTTGCTATTGATTTATAATAATTTTCAGATTTTCGCCTTCCAAGCGCAAGGCCATGAAAGACATGCAACTTTCTCCAAGTGGATTCGATCATTGGTGAGGATAAGAGGTTCAAGGCTTGTTAGGTGGTTTCTCAACATAAACAGCTTTTAATACGCATATTCAGGGCCCAGCCAAAACCTATGATGAAGCACAGTAAATTACACCATTCGAGCAGTTTCTTGTTCGTATTCTGGGCATAAAACTTCGCATAGGAAGCGGCTGCCTGAATAGTTAGGTCACATTTACCAGTTCCGATTTCAATTTCTACCTCGATAAGGAGATATTACATTTTTTTGCGTGTAAATTGCATTGCAAAAATCTATCGTTCGAACTTTTATCATCAAGCGGAAGTACACTTACACCCTCTTTAAATAATTCACTAATTATTTCATGAAATTCTTGCTGGTGAGATGTCTCATCCGAATAAAAATCCGTCATAGTTTTAACGCATTTGAGAGACCATTGATGATTGCTTCTATCCATGACAGCTTTTCGTCGTTAAAGTCTATCCGGAATCGACAAAAAGCATCATTATATAATATCAACGGTGTACTGATACATTTTGAAGGCGATAAATAAGAAATTCCTGATCGCCATTTTGGTGTTTATGCAAATAGTTGATGTGAGCAAAAGATGACGGTGAAGGATCTGTAAGATTTAGGAAATTATATTAGCTAAGACAGTTAATTGCAGAAATAAGAGAAATAAGCACATGTTGTAATGCTAACCCTTTTCGGATTATTCAATCGAAAACTATCGCTTAGGAGACACTGCAAAAAGTAACGAAATAAAGTCAAAAGTAACAGTAAGATTTGGAAGTTTCAATATCGCGTGACACAGCGCAGACAAGAACAAACCAGCCAGATCATGCGTTCACTAAATTTATTGCGATTCAGTTACCAGTGGTTCTATGATAACGTGAATGTGTTTTTTTGGGCGGTGTTTGACGGTAAGAAGCAGGAAAGAAAAGCACAAGATTAAGTATTCGATATCAATAGCAAATATGACACAGATCAGAAATATCAAAGTAGATAGGTTTAGAGTATTCGAATGAAGTCGTGGCACTCACCTTGCTCTTCGTCCTTTAATTATCTTAGCCAAACTTTCGATTGTTATAGCTAGTCCGCCTGATATTCCCCATCTTTCAAGGGTTACTGCGGTTAAATTAAGGAAGAATCTTCCTTAACTTTCTGATTATATATTATATTGATAGTATTCAAGTTCTAATTCATCTCTCTTCTCTTGCAAAAATTCTTTTATGTTATCTCGACTCCATCCTTTTATTACTTCACCTGTCGAGCGATTAGATGTAAAAACGCTTTGAGAGGATCTTGCAACGTTAAACATGGTTTTTGGTTAAATTGGAAAAAATTTCTCGGTATTGGAGATTATACACTATTTAAGTATTGTATGTATGTTAAATATCAAAATACAAATTATTATATATACAATAAATCATGAAAAAAGTAAAAATTGATTTTATCAAATGAAACCCGCGTTCATGTGTATTTTTGGGCTCAATATCTCGAGATCCCGTAGAAGGAATTGAATGCAAGACCATCATTCGATTCCCTAGGTTCTAATGAATCAAATGATGTGTCTTGCACTCAATTCCTGCCACTGGGTCTCGAGATATTGTGCTCCAAAGAGGCTGTATGTGGTATTTTTTATTGATAATTCACGCACAGTCTCTTTGGGACTCAATATATCGAGTCCCCGTGGCATTAATCAAAATGTAAGGTCCATCATTCGATTCCCTAGGTTCTAGTGAATCGAATGATGGGCTTGATATTCTATTTCCGTCATTGGGTCTCGATATATTGGGCCCAAAGAAGCTGTGCACAAAATCGTTCATAAAAATAAATCCAAATCCCACGCACGGCCTGTTTGAGACTTAATATCTCGAGACCCAGTAGCGGAATTCGAATATAAAGTCTACCATTTGATTCCAGAACCTAGAGAATCGAATAATGGGCCTTACACTCGATTTCCGCCATCGGGACTCAAGATATTAAGCACAAAGAGACAGACTATGGTGAAATCGTTAATCAAATTAAATTAAAATTCCACGTACGGAGCACAATATCCCAGTGGCGGGAATCGAGTGTATGGCCCATTATTCGATTCATAATAGCGTACATTATATGATGACATTGGAATTTCATTCGTTATAAAATATAAAGAGGGTTGACTGTAGTAATTCCGAGATCATGATAGTTTATAGATTAAATTTTTCTTTTCCATTTAGTAAACGGAATTATTTCTTCTGATTAGAAACGCAAATATATTAACGTTAAGGATGGTTTATATATCATGTGCTGCAAATTTTATAAAAAAATGATCAGGAATTTAATAACGATGTATTGTCTTTTTTTTCAATCGAGCGTCTCCAAGTTCGAAAATCACAGTATTTACGCAGATGAAGTAATGGAATTAAATAGATTTACATTTGAATCAAGTAACAGGGCTACATGTATTTTGTTACTAATATGCGATATGCGCTATTTATGCATTATCGACATTTCTATTGCATTTTTATCGTTCAAGTAATCATTAAATTCTTCTTCTTCCAAGTTTGACGGTGGTGGATCGTCGTCAAACTGTACAGCGTACCACTCATCATTGACGTTTTTTTGATGGCTTACAGTGGTAGTTATTGTGGTGGTTCTTGATATTGTATTAAATAACGGAACGTGAGGAGAATCAACTTCGCACTCATCACGATTTCGTGTTATTAATTTATTAGGACTTTTGGGGTATTCAGGGGATACCGGAGGGAAAAATGGGTCTATTTCTATTTCTGAATCTTCGGTTGGTGATATCATCGTTGATGATGTTGTTGATTTTGGTGCTTGATTTACATGATTAGAAATAGTGTTGTTGTCATTAAAAGCACTCTTTCTAGTAGTCTGTCGTTTCAATTGTGGAATACGCAACCCATATTCAGTAATTAAAAATAGCGTAAACGCAATACTTAAAATGTCTGCGTAATAAAAAGTAGGTATGGTAACTGTCGACGAAACCAACAAATATATCACGCGATAAGTCAACGCAGTCGACAACAAAAATGTATCAAATTTGAAAAAGATCGCTTGCAAAGAACAGTAATTTTTCATTCTTCGATATTCTTTTTTGTTCGCAAATTCGCGGTTGCTACGCTCCAGGAGGATTCGAATGAAAATTATTTCGGATGCTATGTAGTAGATTTTTGGGATTGTCGCAGTCGATTGTTCCATTTTCGTGAAGATTGAGGGTATGCTTGTGGTGGTAGTGACTGCGCTTAGTAGGTCGCTGAAAAATAATAGAATTAGTGTTAGACCGCGGAATGCGAAAAGAGTGTAATGTACTTTTTTGTGTTTGGTGTATGCTTGATATTCTTTTTCACAGCGCTAAGTTTTTAAAGAAAAGATGAATTAAATTAACGTTTTTTTTATAATTTTAGTTTATCATAATTGAAAAGTTGTATATACCTGATAAGCTAAATACAAAATACTCGGTTCCAGAAATATAAAAAATATATCATTCACTATTCTCACCACTGAAGTAATTCTTGCATAATTACGCATGTGCAAAATTACAGAATAAACTTGCAGCAGCGTATTCAGCTCAACTAGAAATAAAAGCACATTACACATAATTATGAGAAGCGATTTCAGAGTTGCCATGCGAAGTAAATACATTCTGCAAGCTGAGTGTATTGTTAATGCTATCGCCGCGCCGATGAATAGTGCTCCTAGCCAAATGTCAGCTCCCGTGCTCACTTGTAGCTGTTGTTGCTGAATTGTGGTGGAGTTATAATTAGCTGTATTGTCGGTATCTGACATTCTATTGTATTTTTTTTCTATTGTAGAAACGAGTGAGGTTGCGAGTATGTAATCGTTTACTCGTATGTATGTATGTATGTATATTAAAACGTATGAGGATGTGCGTGGAATAAAAGAACGTAAAAGATTCTTTTTTTATCTATACAATTTCATTTTTTTTGCGAAATGTTCTTCTTTCATGTCAATTTTATTTAGTTTAATAAAATAATTTCGTACATGTATAATCTTTATGTAACAAAAACTTTACAGCAAAGATGACAAATTTCAATTTAGTAGATGTGCACAAACAATGATGAATAACAAATAAAAATAACGAAATTACACAATGTCAATTAGAGTGAATATTCCGCTCATAAAACCCGGTGATTGAATTTTGATTGATGACATGAATTAAAAATTGAGATCCTTTTATAGAATACTATAAACAAATTTAGGAAAAAACTGTTTAACGACCATATTATCTATATTACGAAAAGTAACTAGGGATCTATGCGATTTGCAATTCCAATTCGCTTTTGACCTTGATCAAAAATCAAATAATGTTTCTATTTTAAATGATAAACTTAATTAATAATTAATCGATTAATTAATTAATTAACATACAGCAGCTAGAAAATTTACCTTTATAAAAATACTGCCCAAGATCCAAATATCATCTGGTGCGCCCGCCTGAATACCTGCATAACAATAATGAGGAATTTCCTCGATCTTTTCAAGTATAATATCTTCGATCGGTATCATAAACCCACGGTCTCCCATAACAAAAGTAATTCTGTGTTCTTGTCGCTGTTGCTGTTCTGATTTTTGCTGCGATTTTGAATTTTGCTGTTCTTGTTCTGAATTTTGTCGTTTTTGTGATGGGAGGTTTTGAGTGGTATTGCAAGGTACAATCCACGAACCTTCCACGTCCATAGTATTTCCTTTTATTTTGACGATTTTCGAACCGGGAATTTGTCGAAACACTTGTTTGGCCGCGTTGGAGCTCAAGAGAATTACCGAAGTTCCTGTATCGACTAGCGCATTTCCCGTGATATCAATTGAGTTGTTGCCCACGTGGATATTTGTTAGGGGAATCACCCATTCTCGTGTCGATGATAATGAGACGAATGTAACATCATCTATTTGAATGCATTAGATTTGAGAAATCCTGTGAAACCAGCATGTTTTTAATTTTTGTTACCTTTTATTTTGAGTTTGTCATATCCACCAAATAAGTATTCACCACCGCCGCCGTTCTTCCCTTCGACTAAATACACGGAAAACAGTGCTTCCTTGATCTAAATTATTATAAATCTATCAATCACATCTTATAATTCGTTTCATCTAGCGTAATAATTTAATACACATAATAACATACCAATCCTTGATCTATCATATTATCGAGTGGGGTTTTTACACCCTCGATTCGCGTGTTCGTGTTTAATCCTAATCCAATGACACCATCCACCACATCTTTTTGAAACTCGGCAGTCTGATTTGTGGCCAATGCGAAAATCTGATCGTGGATTTCGATGCTACCAACCTGCAAGGTATCTTTACCAAAATAAAACAAGCCATTTATTTATTAATAACAATGTGACTTTAAAAGAGGCCATGACTGTGTGAAAGTCAAATTTTTTATGCTTCATGATTAGAAAAGGAAGGATTATAAAGAGAGCGTGATTATAATATAGTTTATAAATTATTTTTAAAATTGTGAATTAAAAACCTTTTGCGAGAAACCCATTCACATTCGATCCATCTAAATATCTCATATCCCATTTAGTCTTCAAGTCATGATACGTAGAAGACTTGTGCGGATCATATAAATTATGGCCGTCACACATAGCTTTTGCACAAAATACCGAAGCCACCCATAGGTCCGAAGAGCCGGTATCGAACTCAAGCGTGAACTTTTGAGGAGGCGTGCCGATGTGGACATCACCAATCCACTGGTTGTTGTTTCCTACCGCGTTTATTGGAAGTCGTGCAGCTTTTTTCTTTTTGTTGTGTTTCCTGTTTTCGCGATCTTTATTGCGTTTCTCAATTGCTTGTAAATGTTCTATGGGTGTGTTTCGTTTATAGAAGGGATTGGCGTGAAGCAGAATTCTTATTGTAGTGTCGTGGTTATCTTCGCTGTTGATTAATTTCGTTGTCGGATTCCCGTTGATGTTGTGGATTAATATTACGGAAAGAAGCAAAGCGACTAATTTAAATTTCATTTTCGACGTAATTAACGATGAATATGTTAAAGAGAATGTGAATGAATTGTACACCTATTCAAGCATTCGAAAAGAACCAGACGGGCTATGGGTTTTTGTACTTTTCAGCGATTCAATTAGACATGTTTGATTTTTAACGAAGATGACAATGTATGTATGTCTGTTTCTCGAAACCTTATTTGATAATTCTTTTTTGTTCAAATATTGTTTGTTTGTCTTAATTTTCTAAAGTTCGAAACCATCGAAATTATCACAAAGAAAAATTAACCGAATAATGGGGAATAATGATGCATTTTCGTGTCAATCGAAAATTCAAACTAAAACGCGCGCATATATTTATTTATTCAACTGAAACGCACATACAGTATTTATCGCACGGAAATTCGTAGCTTGACACAATTCGTGAAAACAAATTAAATCGCTTCTTTGTCTATCTGTCAATCGATCTTTTTTGCTTGCTTAGTTTCAGACGGACTATTTGGTGTGCTGAAGTTAAATTAACATAAATCGTTCGCGAAAGTTCTATGATACCATTCATTTTTTTGTTCGTTGGATCTAAATTAGAAAACAGGCAATTTAATTTTATAATAGGCAACATATAATAAGATCCAAAAAAACGCTTTTTCTGTCATATTCTATTGTGTCGATCAAGCAACCGTGTCAAAAAACAATCTTCCGTCGTGAGTTTTCCAAACATTCTCAACATGAATTAAAAAAGATACTAAGAGACTGCTCATTACAGATCGATTCCAATAGATGAAACATATAAAATAGTTTGTTGTATTTTAAGAACATCTTGTGCGCAATCTGAATAATTGTTGCTGTTATAAAATTTTATTATTATTTTATTCAATGACATGACTTTTTTCCAATAAGATTTAGAAAGATTTTTTTACTTGCTTCTCTATATTTTCTAGAAGCAAGCTGTCAGTTGACAATGGAATCGAGATCTTTTGTTTATTTATGAGTCAAATGACTCTGCATAAGAAGTCAAATAATACTCCAATCCGCAGGATTCTGTTTAATAAATTCGTGAATTTTGGATGTATGTGAAAAAAGACCCAGATATCCGGAAAACGTACAGACGGCGGCTAAAATTATGCACACACATTATCGTTATCGTTATTTTTGATGAAATCGGTCAAAATAAGGTAAGATTTACAATATTGTTATTATTATTATTATAAACAATTGGTTTTTTGTTTTTCTACGGTATCGTTATTCAGGGAGATAATGTGTTCAAAAGGTGCGTCAAGAAGCCGAAATTATGATATTACCATGGGCCGCTTAAAGTCATGATTTAAATCCCATTGAGAATCTTTGTGCAGAGAAGAAAACTATGATTCGTCGTCATATTTCACCACCATCTAATCTTTCAGAACCTGTATAGTGGAGACACAATAAGCCATCAACATGTTTCAACTTTAAATGTTTTAGAAAGTCACTTGAAAAAAAAAATCTTAAAAAGCTGATTAGGTAGAAAAAATCATGCGATAAAACATATATATATTAAATATTTTCAAAAACAAATCTGGAACAGCTCGATGTGATTTATATTTTTTTAAAACATATTCAGCTTGCAAACCTGTGAATCCTCTTCGATAACATAAATTTTGCTGATTTTCGAGCATATTTGCGTATTTGACTTAAAGAAATCGAATCTAATGCATGTGGAACTGTTTCCTGTAATCTTTCCCATGTATAATCACATCGTTCCAATATATTTCAAAATCCGGTAACTTTGGGACACGATATCTTGACGTCCAACTGTCCAAATTGGACTGCTGGACGTCATGATATCGCGTCCCAAAGTTAGGTTTTTTATTTAATTAAAAATTTCGCGTAGATCATCACAAATCACTTTATAAAATCCATTTTGATATGGATTCTCGGGCACAATATAGAACTTAATACCTATTTTTAATTAAATTATAAAAACAATTTTTACAAAAACTAGATTTTAGCTAAATTATAATTGGAAATATACAACTATCTGTTACAGCTGCTTGATTTGATTAAATGAAAAATATATTTGAATTGCTGGACTCATCATATTTATATGATATATTATTCAGTTTTGACAAAAATATCGATATAAATAATTAATTAATAAAGAGACATATATTAATTCTTAAGTGTTAAAATCATTGATTTTTGTTAAGTTTTAAACTTTATAAAATATATTATCAGCTTATCGTTATTAATTCATTAAACTCGATTAATTCAGTAATTGTCAACTATTACTATGTACATGTATTTTTTTATGCAAGATCATCTTAATTCTTGTATCCTTAATTAATAATACCTGCAATATGTTATTATCTTTATTGTCCCTTATCATCTGAACCAATCAAAATGTCAAAAGATTCTTTCTTACATTTTAATATCAATATCAACCCAATAACATGAATTCCTTACAACATTCTTATTTTGCGCTTCCAAGAATGTACAAAACTCATAATCATTCGTATTGTATGTTATTCTCTTGATCCATAGAAATAGTTATAAAATTTTTACCAAATTCACATTTTATATTATACGTAAATTTATTTTTTTTTAAATAATTACAATTAATTCTATTGTTATTCTTTTTCTTATACATAGCCATGTCCCTTTATTAAAATTTTTACAAACCTCTTTCATTTTACGCTAGAACCCACAAATTCTTGTAGTAACTTACGATCTGTTATATAGATAGTTAGTAATCAAATTATATATAGAGGACAGTCCCAGAAGCAGAAAAACAAGTCAATATGTGGTAAAAAAATAATTTTAATCTTATCTAACAGCGCTTAGGCTTTTATTTCTTTTGTACTTAACAAATTGAAGGCTTTACTATACAAAGTTGATGAATCGTGTTTGATTCTGTTACATTTAATTCTTTGATTTGATTATTTGACTTTGGTTGTTTTGTTAGTAATTAGTTATTACTTTGTTATTTGAATATTCTAATATATGCTCTTGCTTGCACAATCTTTGTGTAAATTGGCTCAGGTAGACCTTCAGAACTTCAATGAAACTTACTTCGACTAACTTCTGAATATGATTCTAAATGCAACTGCATGCATTAATTATTACGAAACATTAAATTTCAAGTATGAACTACATGTCATTTTCAAATTCACGCTACTTTTAAAATATTTCTTAAATCACAACAAAAAATATAACTCGTTTTTATACACAATAAAATTTTTTTCTCTTACAAATGAAAAATATATCGATATGATTGTTATGAAATATGCGGATGGCACAACTCTTAAAAAATTATTTATACATAATTGTTTTCATAACGACATATATCACGCACATTACGCGAACATAATAAATTCACTAAATTTGTTTTCCGCTAAATTTTCTTACATAATTCATCAATGTATATTTATATAAATCATTATTATAGTATGAAATATGAATTTAAATATTTAATCAAATTATTACTTCAATTGTTAATATGAATATTTTAACATGATATGAAAACAAAATACAATTTTTTATATTGAATATATTAAATATTGCAACTAATAATCAATCAAATCAAGTTATTAAGTTATTTAAAGAACAATTAGATGTTTATCTTCCTTCTAATAACAATTTTATAAAAATAATATAATTTATCTATATTGACTGTTGACAAATATTAGTTATATAATATAAAAATAAGTTATTATAAGTAATTTTATTGTTACTATTCTTAATTAAATGAATAAGTGATAAATTAAATATAAAATTTAATTAATAAAGTATTTTATAAGAAAAATAAAAATAATTATATATTTGAAAGAATTAAATACTAGATGATGTAGAAGAGAGAATATTAAGAAAAGAATTTTATAAAAATATATAATAATAAAATATTGATAAAATTCATGAATTTATTAATAAAGTAATAAAATAAAGCTTAATATTCTTATTTTTAGATAAATAAACAGATTATAATATTTTATTAATTAGATAAGTAATTAAAATTAAGAAATATAAAAAATAATAAATATAAAAAATAATTTTTACTGATTGAATAAGTCAAAATTAATAATAAAATCAAATAAAGAATAGTTATTTTAAAAATACTAGTTAACTTTTTGGACTTGATTTATCTCTTATTTATTAAAATTAATCTATTTATCTAATTATTACAGAAATTTTTTATATAATAAATTACAATATATTAATTTATATCTATATAATATATTATTTAATTATAAAACTAATTAATTAAATATCAAGTATTATATTAATTAAATTAATAAAATATTATTTATTATATTAATTTAATTAGTATAATATTATCTAAATTAATATTTATTATATCTATTTTTATATATTAATAATAAATTAAAGAAATAAATATATATTTAAAATAATTAATTAAATAATAAAAATAATAAAAAAGTAATTAATATCATATTAAATTTAATAAATAAAATATATAAGAATTTAAAATAAATAAAAATAAAATAGCTTGATTAAATAATAATTTATAATATAATATAGTTATATTTTTTTTTAATTAATAAATTTTGAAAATATAATTAATAATAATATAATTAAATTTTTTTAAATTTATTTATTTATTTATATAATATATATATTATTTTATAAAATATTTATTAATAGTTACTTATTAAATTAAAATAATAAGAATTTTCAGTTTTTTTAATTATTTATTATAAAAAATATATATTTTTATTTATGATAAATTTTGATTATTTTAAAAAATTTCTAGTACTTATTTTTTTATATTATTTTATCTTTTAAAATTTTATTTTAGTTATTTTTTTAATATTAATTAAATTTTTAATTTAAAGAATATATTTAATAATAATTTTTTTATATTAATATATTCTTTTACTAATATATTAATTATATTATTTATTATTTTTAATTTTCTATTTCTTATATTAATTCTTGTAATTATTATATTTATAATTAAAATAATTAATAATAAAAGAATTTAAATTTTTTTTAATAGTTAAAAATTATTATATATAATATTTTATTTATTTATTAATAATAAAATAAATTATATTTTAATTAAAAATATTTATAAATTTTAGTAAATAATATAATATTAAAATTAAAATATTAATTAAAATATTAATATATAATATATCTTTATTATTATAAATTTTTTTAAATTTTAATAAAATAATAAATTTATTAAATATTAAAATATTAATTAATTATTAATATATAATCTGATATAATTTCTAATTTTAGTATTTTAATATATTTTAAAATAAGAAATAATAGATTTATAATAGTTTAATATAAAAAAATTATATAATTAATAATAAAAATAATAAATATATAATTATTAATTATATTTTTTATAATATTAATATAATAATATAAAAATTTTTAATATAACTATTTTTATTTTTCATCTTTAAGATTTAAGAGAACTTATATTTTATATATAAAATTTCAGATTTATATTTATAATATATAAGTTATATCTTAAAATATTAGAAGTTTTATAAATTTTAATTCTTTAAACTTTTTAAATAATAATTTTTGAATATATTTAATAATATAATAATTAATAATATTTTAATAATTTTTAATATAATTATATTATATATTAAAACTAAAAATATTTTAATTTAAGTATAAAATAAAAAAAATATTTAATTTATTCTTAAAAAAAATATATTTAAATATAAAAAATAATATTAAAAATTAAAATTATTTCTATTTTAAATTAAAATTTATTTTTAATATAAAAGTAATTAATTAAGTATTTTAAAATAATATAAATAAAAATTTATCCTAATTAAGTAATTAAATTTTAATAAATAATAATAAGTTTATTAGTTATAATATTTAGTTATATTTAATATTAAATTTCTTATTTTTATTTAATTATACTAATTATATCTTTAAAATATAGAAAAATATTAATATAATTTTGAAAATTTATAATAAATAACAAGAATTTAATATAATAAAAAAAACCAGAGTAATATTCAAATAATAATATTAAATATTATACTTTTATATATGAATTTGATAGCTAATATAAATAAAAAAGTTAATATTATAATACTAAATTAAAATATTAAGAATATAATTAATATATTAATATTAATTACTTTAAAAATTCATATAAATAACTCTTATTATTTTTAATAATATATATAATTATCAATTATATTTTAATAATGAAAAGTATATTTTAATATATCAAAAAATTTCTAAAAAAATTTTCAAAGAAATCTAATTTCTTATAAAATATGAAAATCTATCAGTTATTATTCAGAAAAAATTGCTAAGAGTAAAATTTCTGATAATTAATTTTCTTAACTATAATCTTGTTAATATAATATAAAAATTTAAAATTCATACTAATAAAAAAATAATATATTTTACTTATTAATAATTCTTATAAATTATAAATTAAATAATTCTAAATAAGTTATGAATTTTAAATTAAATAATAAGAATTAACTTATCTATATATTCTGAATATCTTTTATATAAGTAATTATTTAATTAAAGTATTATAATATTATTTTAAATGATAATATAATAAAGATTAATTAGTATTAAATATTATTCTCTCTTTTTTTTATTATAAATAATAATACAAGATTATATCTTATTTCACAAATACTAATTTTTAATAAAATTATCAAGTTATATAAAAAAAGTAATAATAACAAAACTATTAGTACTTATTATTAATACTATTTTTATAATAGATATAGTAATTATTCAAGTATATGAAATAACTTATCAAATTCATTATATTTTTTATATTAATAAAAATTTACTAAGAAATTTCAAGTTAAGCTACATAATTAATATGAAAGCTTTATTGTTTTTTTCTATATTATAATAGCTTGTATAAAGCAAATTTTTATGAGTGATAATTATAACTTATTAAAATATATATTAATATTAAAAATTATCTCATGAAAGCTCTTTATCCAAGCAGAAAAGTATGAACTTATAAATTCATATAAAAAATATTTATTACAGAAATTCAAACTATTTCATATATTAAAGAACTTAATAATATTATTAAATATGTAATTTTAATAAATAATATTTTATATAATCTTACTAACATATCAGATACAAGACTTGAGCATGAGACAGAATATAATTATTTTTTGAATATAAAATATTAGCATCCTGCATAAAAATTATGTTAATTAGTCATGATCTTTTTTCTAAGATCAATAAATAAATAACTTAATATCTTATCTTTTCATATCTTATTTATAAAATATTTGAGAATAATATAATATCTATACTTTATTACAAATTAAATATAATTGAATATTAATACTTGTGATAAAATAAGAGAAATATTTGAAATTTATTTCCTTGCAGATTATTCGATGTCACATTTCGGCAATATCTCAAGTCCTGTGCCGTGCAGGCGTTCTTATCTCTCAAAGTACAAATCGATACTGTGCAAAAACCATTCTCCGATTGGAAACTCGATAAGGTATGTGAACTCCTTGGCCTGGCGTCGGGCATTGATGAATTCCCCACTTTCGATTGTGGTATCGACAAACTCGATTCAGAAAAAGCAAAAGATTTGATGGCTCACCTTTGCAAAGATCTGAGACTTCGTTATAAAGAGATACATAGTAACGAGATAAGAGAAAGAAATAGGGAAAAGAAATCTCAAGTTTTAAACTCATCTACCGGTTCGCACCAAACTTCTAAATGAAAGTACCCGAAATAGATATACAGCCCTTGATACAGGAATTATTTCTAGAATTTTCAGAAGATTATGCTAGAGTCGTTAATGTAGAGCACTCACCTGCAATCAAATTGGTATATTTATTTGAAAAAACAAGTTTGGCGGAAAATAATACTATACGAGCCAAGCTGGAAAAAATTACGAGCTGGTATCAATATAGAAAGTATTGGGAAAAAAGGCTCAATGACATATTACCCAAAAACCAAAGAAATGATAAGAGAGCCTATGATTTAGCAAGTGGGCGGATTTATGATGAAATGCTACAGTATTTCTCGTGTAAACTTGCGCAAAAGAACCCAAAGAACTAAACCTATATATAAATTGTTTAGCGCAATTGGAGAAGATAAAATTAAGCGAATTAAGACTTATAGCGCAAATAAACTCTCGAATTTAACTGATATGCAAATCGATACAATTAAGAAGCATTTCATTAATACTGAAACTCCACCGCGTGATCAAAAGTCACGCATTCATACGACTGAACCATCTAGCTCTACCGAATCTCGGATCTCAGATTCCTCAGATTTGAAAGCTGAGGTAAGTATGTCTAATACTTCTGTCTCGAAAAAATTAGATGTTAGTGGAACTAGTTCTACTAAGGTAAGTGCATTGCCTAATAAGGTTTCGTCAAAAATTCAGGTGAGTGTATCAGATGTGAAAGCATCCTCACTACATGAGAACAGAACCCGACTTCCAATCTCTATTTTACCTGATGATCCAGAAGAGAAGCGAAAATTTATTATTAACAAAGTGCTAGGGCAGTAGTGTTTTAAGTCGAAAGTCAAAAAATCGACTTGGGTCGATGAGTCGACTAATTTAGTTGATTTTTTAAAAGTCGACTAAGTCGATTTATAATATATATGTGAATTGTGTCATAGGGTATTTGGCCTCATGCATCGCATATTCAATTGGATAAGAAAACATGCACCATAGAACAATGCGCCGAACTGTTTTAGCGTTATATTAAATCTAAATTACATTGTATCGAATAGAATTTATTTATGGTTCATTCAAAGCCTTTATTACGATAGCCTAGACTCTAAATCCAAATTGCTTAAATCATGTGCAGTATGTCATGTGCTGATCGCACAGCCGGTATGGTAAATTACGCGTCATATTTCTACGTGAACTATCCATTCAAGCTAAAATTAAAATGGAACACGAAAGTTTTAATACCTTTATACCTTGGGATGGACCAACTAATAATTTACAAGATATACTTAATGATGTTTCTAATGAGGAAGCACATGAAGATTTTATATATAATTTGAATAATTAATTAACTTCTTCTGCTTCTTCTTTTTCTTCTTCTCCTCCTTCTCTTTCTTCTTTCTTAATTATTATCAATCAAAATATCATTAAATCTTTTAATAATAATCTAAAAAAATGAAAAAGAACCAAACCTGGCAAAAATTGGATAGAGAAGTATATGCAAAAAGACTTGTTATTAAAGAAATTTATTATCTTGTTTTCATTAATATTAATAATAAAATCAAGCAATGCCAAAAAAAATTTGCAATGAAAATAAGTACTTCTAACTTGATAGTATATTTATAAAAAGATCATTAATTGACGAAAACTGGTAAATTATTATTATTAAATGAAGGAGTAATATAATCTTTACAATCTAAATTAATAAAACTTATTTATAAAAATTCTAATTAATCTATTCTTATGAAATTCATTAATAAAAGATCATTATTACTATTCAACAAATCAAATCAAATTATCTTAAGAATTCTTGTATAATTAATTAATAGTATATAATTATTAATATTTTAAAAAGTAATACTTTTTAAAAAATTTTTATTATAATTAATTTAAGATATAAATTTTTATATTAAGATATCTTTAAATAAAAATTATATTAATTAGTGTATTTTTTAGAAAATTAATTAATATTATTTCTTCAAAAAACTCTTGATATTTTTAGCTTTACTATTGATTTATAGACTAAGATTTATAAATCATATATTAATATTATAATATACTAGCTTTTTGAAGATTTTGTCATATATAAAAAAATATTAATAATTAAAGATTTTTTATATCTGCATAATACTAAGTATATTAAAGATTATTTACAAATGAATTTTTTAAATAAAAAATAACAGATAAATACTTAACTAAAATTATAAATAATAATATCTTATTAATAATAAAAGTAATAAATAATTTTGATAATGCTCATATTTAATATATAATTTATATTATTTAATTTTCTATTATTAATAACTTAAAATTTAAAAAGATAATTAGCTTGATTGAATATATTAAAGCTTTAAATAATTTCTTATCTAAAAAAGATAAATATAAAGAAAAATTTTATTTATCTTAAATAAAACTTGTAAAATTAGTTAATTTTTTTATTAATTAAAAAGATATAATAATATTTAATATAATTAGAGCTGATATATTAACTTAATAAAATTTAATTTTTTTACTATTAAAATAATTAGTTTAACTTTATCTTGCAATTACTATTTTACAACAAGATATAATTAAAAATTAAAATAAAAAAATATGAAAAAATTAAAAAAACTATTTTTGATGAAACAAAATTTAATAAAAATTAAAGATCAAGACAAAAAAATTTGAAAAAATACAAAAAAATTAAAAAAACTATTTTTAATAAAACAAGATTTAATAAAAATTAAAGAATTTATTAATTATTTATATATATAATAATATTTATAAAAGATAATTATTATTTTATCTTGTTAATAATACTTTTTATTATTTAAATATTATAAGAATATTTATTTCAAATAAAAATACTTTAATTAATCAAATTATTTAAGAAGATATTAAATTATTTTTTTGATAAATATTAAGAAAAATTCAGATTTAACAGATTATTTGATAGTATTACTTGATTTAAAATTCAAAAATCTGACTTTTGTATCTGATAAACTATTATAAACTAAAGATAATTTAAAAAAATTAATAGAAATTAATATTAATCTTATATATCTAGTCATGATAAATAATTCTAATAAAGATTAATCTTTATTTGAAATCTTTTTTTTTGATAAAACATCATCTTTTCTATCAATATTGAATTTAAAATTTATTTTGAACTTCCAAAAATACATATGTATGATCTTAATATCTTTTCTGTAATAATGATAATAAAAAATTAATAAATTATTTTATAAATACTATTCTTGAAATTAATAATTTCTTACTTTTCTATATAGATGCAATTCTTTTATATCTTGGCTAGTCACAATAATAGTTGAAAGTGAGAGTATAATTATCCAATAATATTCAATAGGTTATTGGTATATATAATGAAGAAAAGTCAACTGTATAATTATCAAATCGTAAATGTTATTTGAAAATTGATTGGTTTATCTCATCAATATGACGTGATTTATATCACATGGCCTGTATTTTGGGAGGTTTGCTTTGAAAATGAGTCATGCTAAAAATTAATCCAAAAATGACAAACACGCCCAAATCCTTTCAATCTCGCGACTCTTTTCATAATAAAAGTGGTAGTGGTAACAGTAATAAATGGTATCCCTTTGAAAACGTAGAAGAGCTACAGCTTTGTCTAAACTCTAAAAATATTGAGACTCTTGTACAAGGTTAGGCGTCTTTATCAAATAACTAAAACAAGTGCTAACAACATCATGACTGGTGTATTACTGATAATGGTACAAATATTTTTAGGTGTTATTAGATTCAGACAACAATTGCAGGTTCACAAAAGTAAAGAAATCCCGGCTCACGGTAAAAGTTCAGGCAATGATAATGATTATAAAAAATTATCTGTGATACAAGAGTACCTGCAACGATCACCAGGTTGTGAAGAAGTCTTTGGGATATGGGATATGCAGCAAGCAGTGAGTTTTATTATTTCTAATATGAAATTTGCAATCGATGATCATGCATAAATTAACTATGCTATATGAATGCACAGCACAACATAACACGTCTTCAAATCTCCATCCCAGATCTACTCGCAAAAATCCTCGATTTTGCAAACTCAAATACCACATCAATTGCAAAAACAACGGGCACACTAATAACTCGTAATGTTACGCGGAACTACATGAAAACCATTCATCAAAATCTCACATCTGGGAATATTCCGTTGTGTCAGGCGACGCTTCGGTTGCTGATTGCTGTGAATTCGTGTGGCGCGTCAACGGCGCATGAAATTTATCAGAATTTTAATTTTGGGATGAAGGTTTGTTAAGTTTTTTTTTCTGATTTTGTTTGGAATAAGGGAAGAGAGAGTATTTTAGCGTTGTTTTGGCGATTATAATAAGCCATTGGTGTTTAGTTTAATTATCTGATGTTTATTTAATTTATTTGTTTGATATAGGCACTTGGAAAATTATTTAACACGCGACGAAAACAACCGATTGATGAAACCATCAAATTACCAAAGACTGGTAAGTTAAACTTTTGGAATTGTTTTATATTAGCAAAGTTTAATATAACTGTATGTCTTTTTTATTTCTACAGATGTTCGAACACTATACATATATTTCATCCTATCATTTTTCAAATATGGTGACAGTAAACTAAAGCGGGAAATTCTCGGCATAAAAAATTTCGTTAGTGGATTGTTTCCTGGACTCGTGCATGATTCATATGAGGTATGTATTGAGAGATTTTTTTATCTGGATGAATTATCTTAAATCCTGACTGAATATGAAAATAAAAAGTTCATAGACGAGGTTCTTACCACATTATATAATCATGTAATCATGGATAACGAAATAAATCGTACAGCAAAAGTAGCGTTTTTTAATAATTGGGTATTAGATCAGGTATTATTAATCATTTTCAATACTGTATAATCTTAAAATATTGTAATAGACATGACATAATTGATTTTTTGAAGCTCGCACAACTTTACTCTCGCCAAGAATTAGAACCTAACACTACTACAACTACTGACTCCACCACCAACACTACCTCTAAAAAAATAGTAGCCGACCGTATCCACCAATTTCTAATTTCTATATGCTGTACGCCTGGCGTTAATGTCTGTTTCCATGATGAGGGATGGTATCCGCGTGGTATTGATGATGCAAAGAGCCATAGTAATGCTGATCGTGACATCAATGAAAAGAATTTCCGCGTATACAATATAATACTATTACGATTTATTGTGAACCTGAATCCGACTAATGATCTAAGACAACAAGAGTTACTGTTGAAAATATTAAAAGTTTGTCCGGAGTTGGTGTATCCGTAAGTTTAGCTTATTAATGATTGATAGCAATTCTGTTAATAATATTTTTAACGTGTTAAATTTATAATTCCTTTTTTATAAATGGACCAATTCATTAAATTCACGATAAAGTTTCTGGCAATTAACACATTTTTCATTCGAACCCCGCTTATCACACAAATGGTTATTCAATATGACTCTCGCGCAAAAGATAATTTCTCTTTCAGTTCCAGAACAACAAATAGCATCAAAACACCATTATCATAATAATCATCTGACTGATCCTCCACCACCACCTCCTGTACACATCATCATGGAAAATATTCTGCCCAATGCGATAAATCGGTCTATTCTGAGTAAATGTATACAACATCAAAGTCCTTTTGTTAAGTACAAGACTATGATTTTTCTCGCAACTGCATTTCAGAAATTTGGAACGGTTGTGCGTTGGTTCCGGGGAGTGATAAAGTCATTTGCGGCGGTGGGGCAATCTACTATGACATTAAGTAAATGGAACAAATCACTACAAAATATTCACGAAGAAATGAAAAAACGCGTTCCAGATCTAAAAGTTATTTTGTCACTTCATTCGTCGATTCTCGCTGATGCTAAGCAAATTATGTTATCATCATCATCATCATCATCAACATCTACTACTACCACTAATGTTCCATTAGTTGAAGGCGATGAACAGTTTCAAGAATTCAAAGCCAGAAATAATCTACTCTACGAAAGCATCTTACGAATATTAAAATACTATCAAACATACATCCACGAATCGACAATATCCGATACGAAGTTTGATGTTGGAAGATTCATATCAACAGATTTTTTTGAAACAAAGACACAACTGTTGTTACAGAAACATATGTTGGAGATTTTGTTGGTCGTGGATGATTTCAAGTGGAGGAATCGACTGTGTAAGTTTTATCATTCTTTTTTAACATATGAAGAGATTTTAATATGTATTTTATAAATACGCTTTAAATATGATAATAGCTGAATCATCGCCCACTCATGTGTATACACTCTTGAACTTGTATCTTTCTACGCCTTACCACCAAATCCAAGAACTGACAGAACGTGTTCTCGAAAGACATCTTGCAGACTCCATTGTTTTCAATTATGCGTCTGGGGATGTATATGTTTGGCTCGATTCGTTAAAACAAGGTGTTTTTTGTGATGCTGAAAACATTATGGAAGATAACCAAATCAATAACAGCAGTGATAACTCTCGTAGTAATAGTAAGAATAACCAAAAAGAATTGTTATCATTCCTTGAGTCATGTATTCTTCGATGTCTTCAGTCCCCGTATCGATATATCGATGACGTTAGAAAACTTGTGAATGAGGCTTTACGAAAAAAAAATGAACGTGAGGATACAGCTATGGATATTGATGATGACGGAGGTATTGTTGATAATGACCTCGGAAAAGAAAACGATTCTCAATTGGACGACACTGGATATAGTATTATCGTTAACCCGTTACTACTGACTGTAATCGAACAATTTCAATACATAAACACAAGCACAACCCGTTCAGTTGTGGTGGCTTTTTTCATTTCAAACTTGCTCAAGAATTTACATGAGAAAAGGCGTCAAAAAATAATTCTGGCCAATATTTTTTGCGAGTGTGCTAGCCGGCTACACGCGGTTGTTTCTGATAATGATGGTGATGAAGATAATGACGTCCCATCTGCAAAAAAGCAATTTAGAGATCTCGTTGCGTATTTTGAAAACTTCATGGAATCCCATCAAAAAAAGAAGTCTCAAGATATTTCTGCAGAAAGAATTAATTCCCAAGATAGTTTTGAAAATATGAGTCTTGAGCAATTGTTAGAAATATGGAAAAATCATCAGCAGCTTTCACCAGATCTTGATATTGCTCTTTTGCGAAAACTAGACGAACATATGATTCCCGGATTCGGTGTACTTGCCTTTACCTTTGACGAGAAGTCAATCAATGATAATTTTATCATTAACAACAACAATATTAATGGCAATAGTCTAGATAATGTTTTTGAGTTTGCCGAAAAAAGACTTTTTAATATTCTACCTAGCAAGATTGCCGACGAAATTGTGAAGTGTATCATAACATCAATAAACGAAATCACTCGAACACGTGCAATAATTTTTGGAAATCTCGTTCGTGTATGTCCGAATGTTCGTCATAGATTTGTTGATTGGATATTATTACTTCAAAATAATGACGATGATAATAGAAATAATGTATTTTTGGAAAATCTTGTTATTGTCATTGAAGCTTTTCTTGATTCTGTGATAGTAAAGGCTAAAAACGATGATGATGAAAATGTGAATGGAATAACTTGGGCACGATTTACGACTGATTGTGATAAACAAGCGGTCAATGTCTTATTAGACAAATATAGCCAGAAAATATTCAAAAAAATTGACGTGTCGTTGACTAGAGAATCGCCTTCTATATTTGCTCGTGTGTTATGTAACATGATTTGGTTAGGTTCGCCGTACAATAAATTGAGCGATGAGGTGAAGAAAATCATGTTTGAGAATCCTAAAGAGATTGATAGATATTTCGGATTGGATTTTTTGTGTGTTGTAAAGTGTTGTTTATTTAATCATAGAAAAGAAGGTAATGACGTTGAGAAAGATGAGGATAAAACAAAGAAATACAAGATTTTTATTTCTGCATGTTTACACCATGTCACATTACTACTTGAAAAAAATTCAATGAAGCATGTTCCACGTGAAGCTATCCTGGCTTTGTTCTCGCACATAGGTATGTATATTAATAATTAAAAACGATATTTTATCTTGCATCCAAATTTTATCGCTTAATAATTGAACTTAATATTTGATTCATCTTTTAAAAAAACCTATTAGACGAGTTGATAAACCTCCTCGTCCCAAAAGCAGCAATATTGGACGCCAATATAGTCGGCGAGTTCATTTTTGTATTATTAGAAAAGAAATTTGAGGATCCGATCATTATACAGTGTGTTAAGTCCTTGATAATGTGTTCCTATTCTAAAGCGGTATGTGTTGAAACCATTTTATTCTCAATTATAAAATATTCATTAATAATTAATTCCAAAGTAATATATATATTTGTAAATTAACAAAAGCAAGTTCTCGGACCTCCACTCTCCAAAATCCTCGAGTCGATACTAAACAACCCTCAATTCTCAATATTAGCAAGGCCACCCGAGCTATCCTCGAAATCATCATTATCCACGTCACAAAAATCACCCACATACACAATACGTTTGTCCATATGCTGTCTCTTACACGCAATTTTCCAGATTTTATTTACCAATAATCAATCCTCCTCGCACTCTTTTTTAACACCAATAATTTCAATATATGGTGCATCAACATCGTCAGCAGACCAATTACTTCTCGAAATTCTATTCTCTTTTGAGAAAGTCTCACGTGGATCGATTTCTTCGCATGTGCTATGTTGGGGGCCTGCCGGGTCAATCTTTTCTAGCAATCGGAATCTAATGGGCCCAAACATAGTAATTCAATCTTTGGGATTGATTGAGCCGGCGGTAATGCTGCATAGTTATACGCGGTTTCCAATGAACAAAAATTTGGAAGTTTCCATAGCTGATAAGATTGACGACATCATCACAAATCACCACGAATTCGATAAAGCAAAAGAAAATACAGAACTTTCATATGATCCATCCTTTTTCTTGCCATTATTCGCTAATCTGATAGCATCCTACGGCACGCTAGTAGACTGCCGAAAATTTATCGAAATCAATGCACTGGGGTTTGTGGTCGTTGCGCTTTCATCGTCCGAGAGTACGAGACGCGCGGCGTATTACATTATGGATGAGTTTTATGTGCTTTTGGAGGTATATTTTTTTCATAGCTAGATTTTTTATGATGGTGTAATTTGATTTTATGTAGAGGTATTTTACGTTTTGACTTTCTTATTTACATTACAGCACACAGAGTTTCGTGAAAAGAGACAAATTCTCTTACTTCTCAATTCATTCAAGAATTCCATCACGGAACGAAAAAATGAAGGGAAACAACTACAACGCATCCCAACTATTATCACAGTGTTTGTCGCGCATGCGTTGAATGTTCTTTTAAATCCTGCGCATTTCATGTATCCGATGATCAACAAGTTTTTGCTGCAAAGGCCTGTTTTGGATCTCGAGGTATTTGTTTCTGAATTTAACAAATTCATATATTCGACTTTCTTTTGTTTCACATATTATATTAGGCTAATATATTCGTTATATCCAAATAATTAGGATATTCCCTTATTTTACAACCTTTTCTACTCATCAACAGAGCACTATCAAAAAGAGCGAGTGTGGATACTTCGTTTGTTGTCGGCTGGCTTAAGATCTTTTGAAGTATCATCATCATCATTATTACAACAATATTAAAGAACTTGAATCATTAATATATTAAGTTGCTTAAAAAAAATTGCTCTTTTACGATATACGTTTCGTTTTATAGGACTACAAGCTATTCAAACGACGACACGTATGGGACATTATCAGCGCATATTATAATTCACAACTAGCTGACAATGTAACGCGGAAGCTAGTAATTGAGGTTCGATATAGTTTCATAATATGTAGATTTTAGTGCTATTTCCATAAGATCAATTAAGATAACTCAATTACAACCGAAAATTCTAAACCAAAAAGATTCTTTTCAATGCCGCCTCAATCCCACAAGTAATCACCGAAATGATTACAAGAAACGGTCTTTTGAGTTGGTTGCATTATCTCTGTTGTTCTGGTGATTCCTCTACTACACTACTTGCACCAGAAAATGACTTCTCGTTGGTTGCACCGAGATTATTGCTACGAGTACTTCAAGGAGCACAATTACAGCGACTACAAAAGCGATTACCGCTTCATTTTAAGACCTCTTGGATAATAGAACAGGCCGTATGTATTGCTTCTGGACTGATGCAACTCATGGGTATGTATTTATTGATTATAATTATTGTTTTAAACTTCAATGTTTGATTCATTTCGTAATATTTGATAAAAAATCATAACAGAAAATACACCAACTATTACCACCACGGAATCCTCATCCTCAATTCATTGGTCACTCAATCTATTGGATACACTCGTTTCGATATTTCATTATTTGACACTTGTCTCGTCATCTAACGCAACATTGAAAATTTTTCTACCGTATCATGCATCATTCATATTTGGATTTCTTAAAAGATGCGAAAAGGATTTAATGTTTGCTAACAACAATGCGACTGCTACTAATACGAGACAAGAGTTTATCATACAGGCGAAGAGGACAGCATCATCATTATCAGCCGACTCTTTAATCTCATCATCAGCATCTTTGATGATTAGTTCGCTCAAATCTTTATCGTCTTATTCATTACCACAAATAACTGATAGTTTGGAATCATTGTATCTGCTCGATACTGACGTGTCGACTATGTATCGACGTATCATAAGAAAACTGTTTGAGATGGTGATGATTAGTGATAGCGGTGGTGGCGGCAAAAGAAATCATGACAAAGAAGTATTTACTGGGATTATCGCCCGAGCTCTGTTGCTTGGTGTATGTGACGAGGCAAAAGATTGGGTTAAAGAGTGCTTGAATAATTTATAGAATATATTTTAACACTTGTATGTATCAAAGTATCATCACAAAGATCATTTTTATGACTCTCATCCACGAAAAATTTTATTTTTTTTATTTACATTTTTTTTGTTATTTGTTGATGAAAAAAGGTTGATAGGATATATGGTTTCGCGTTTAGTGAATTTTAAGGTAGGGTGGTTTTTTTTACGTATATTTAGTTATACAATTAGAATATAAAAAAAATATATAAAAGGAAGCGCGAAACTAAAGAGAGAATACTACCAGCGTATAAAATGAAAAAAGATTCATTAATATATGTATATTTTTGTTATTTGTAATAGTAAATAAAGTAATATGTACTGTACAATTTTGGGTTTTTTATAGGTGTATGTAAAAAAAAAAAAAAGGTGAAAAAAAGAAAAAAGAGGAGAGGTTTCTATCTTTGTATTTATATGTATATGTATATATATATATATGTATGTATAAGATGTTTTTTCTATATGATTTTACTACATTTTTACATTTTTTTTGATTGATTGATTGATTGGAAAAATCAAAATTATCCAAAATTCATTCACTAAAAACCAAAAAAAGAAACCAGAAACTATAAATAGATGAGAAACTATGCGTTTGTGTTTTCATGCAATAAAGCAAGAGCAAAAAAAAGTTATTGTATGATTTTTTTGTAAGTTGTGTGCGGGATGAGAGAATATCCTTTTTCTTCGTTTGCGCATTGCTGGTGAATAAGGTATATATATAAATCTCACGCAAGGAGCTTGCAAATAGATCTCATCTATTTGAATGAACTTTTTAATACACAGGTCCCAAAACTTCACGTTGTTGAAGTTGCTGCTGCGGCATCTCAACGATACCACCATTTACTTCTTTGCCATTTCCCTTATTGTTACCATTAGTTGAAACGGTACTGTCACCAAGAGAAACCCCGGCAAGTTTTTGTTCCAAGAGATTGATCGTGTTATTGGTAGTGGTGGTAGTATTTAATACTTCTTGTGGTTCGTACACAAAAACTTCATCATCATAATTATCTGGTTCACTGTCCAAATACTGTTCGCAGAAAGCGGCGTAGTCATTGCTGATGTTGGTGGTGGCGAAGTCTTTGTTGTAGTAGTTCTGCTGTTGGTAATTTTCGGGTAATGGATAATAAACGGTTTGATCTATAAATCATCAAATTAAAAAAAACCATGTAAGTGCCCGCATAAAGTTTGATCAAATAACGATCGAAGAGCTTCACCGATTTTATCAAGTACAAGCTGACAAGAAATGAAAAACTCCAAATCTAAACAAACCTTGTCGTCCGCTTGGATGGAAATCATCCAAGAAAGCCTCAAATTCAGACCACACCCTCGGTTTCTTCTCCAACACAATCTTTTTTATGCGATCGACTACACCGCTCCACGCGAGGTTTTCGCGGTAGTTTAACTGAAGCGTCTCGAGGATCTTAATGTAAAGTGCATCGTCCTCGAGTATGAATGCGGCTGTTGCAAGGACCTCGTTGCTTAATCCTGTTCGTTGTTTTGTTTGATTGATTGATCGAATGAAGGAGAGAATGGCGCAGTAAGATAAAAAAGAATCGGCCAATCGATCGAAAAGTGAGACAAGAATGAAATTAGAGTTTACATCAACACATGTGTATGTAGTAATACACCGATCAGATACATCAATTATATAACAAAATATAATAATTACCAAGCTCGTCAGCTGCCCCCTCTTCCGCGAAAACTTTCTGCACACGTAACCTAGTAGACGGGGTGCACCTCTCATTTAAAAACCTTTGCAAGCTGTCCATAACCTGTTGATGACTAGCCGAGGCATTATCCAGCTGCAACGCCTGCAAATAGGCCTCAAACAGCCCTTTATTATACAACAACGCTGCCTCGATTTTTTCCAACACGTCCAACGACTCACACACACGCATAAATGTGCTCTCAAACGCGGGGTTACTTTCCGCGTTTCGCATGATTACTTGGAAGGTGGTGAATAACCCAGGGTTTGAGGCGCGACGGAAGTATGGGAGCACGTTTTGCAGCAACTCTGAAGTGGGCATTACGTCTTTGGGGATAGAGAGAATGGCAAACAGCTCTGTGTAGTCACTATCGTCAGGGAGCGATTCGCGGAGGCTTAAGAAGAAGTTGTAGATATCATAGGGTGTGGGTGTTTCGGAACAGTTCATTTTTATTATTGTTTTGGCAAGCGTTGGTGTTGTATTATTTTCTACGGAGAGAGCAAATATCGTTAATAAAAACGTTCTTATAGAGAGAGGCTATAAAATAGGTTTTTTTCCACGAACAGTGAACGATAATATTTACTAGTTATTAATAATTAATTATTGCTATTATTAATAGCAAAACGCGCACAGACAGATAAATAGGTTTAATTAATGTTACAAGGAGGATATTTAGTTTTACAAACCTATTATCTAGACTGATTATGACTATTATTATTATTATTATTATTATTATTATTATTATTATTATTATTATTATTATTTAATATTATTTAATATATTTCTTACCTCTTGGAATAATTGATTTTTGTAATAGGTAGGCTTTTTGGTGGTGGATATAATAATTAAATAGTTTGGTTACAAGAGTTATGTGTGTTGCGTATAAATATTTGTTTTTTTACTGTTGTTAAGGGACCGCCGACGATAAAAGTTTTTATTACAATCCCTTTATCTTCCAAGGAAAAAGCTGTGATGAATGATGAATAATGATATGATTGACTGACTGACTGACTAATTGAAGAGAAAGCTTGATTGATGATGATTGATGATACTTGTTAAATTGTTGTTGCGAAGCGGATTTTTTTTGTTTTCTTTACGAGTTTGGAAATAAATAAAAAATCCTCGTCGTCCCGAATCTCTTTGTTCTTTTAAAAAATTTTTATGTATGTGGATGTGGGTTTGTGTATGGGTTAGCGTATACGGGTTTGTTCCGAACAAAAAAAATGCCCATTGATATGCTTATTATATCACTATTGTAGAGCAAAAAAGAATTACACGTATGATTTAAAAAAATAGTGTCGTGAAACATCACACTGGAGTTTTTTTTTACTGCCAACCGTCGTACCATTGCTATTTTACACTTTGTATAATGTTCAAGAGGCTGTTACATTTTTATTTTTTGATTGAAAATCCCGATATTGTATTCCCATGAAGGACGTCATTTGTATCGTTGTGTATGCGAACCACAATAAAATATAGAAATAACAATACGTAAACGGAAATTACATGTATATGCTAAATACTTTCAAAAGTCGGTTAGTTAATTAATTAGATGGGTTAGATGACACGACAGAACAATATGGATGATTGTTCTGAATGACGATGTTTCCTTTTTTTGAATAGATATGTAAATATAGTCCATTTGGTGGGGAGATTATTTAATTGGGCACTTTCTAATCGACTGCCCAACAGTATTTTACCACTCGAAAATAAATGATTCGTTAAAATCAATAATAGCTGATGCGATATACGTCATCAGATTTTTTCGAGACATCATAAATTTGTTACATATAAAAGTTTTTAAACGACTCCTGCATAATGATAGAAAATGATAATGATAATGATGTGATGCCCACTGTAGTCCAAAAATAATCATTGTCATTGTAGAAGTTCGAACAATAACCTGTCCGAGTCTTTTGTATCACTGAATAACGAAAAGCCCCATGGATCAAATGATTAGATAGCTTGGTGATGTTATACATGTATAAGCTAAAACCGGCTTTTTTTGTCACGTACAACTTGAAATTGTTATTGTTAATGCCTAAAAACGATTATTTTCGAATAAACAATCTCACATGTACCAACCGATGTACCCGTGAATTTGGCGATCTTTATTCCCGCCATTGTTAAGCAAAATAAAAATATTAAGTTTTATTAAGGGATTGATTAGTAAATTCTTCACAAGAAAATTTTGTTAAACTTTGTTAGAGGCTTATCATTGTTTTTGAGGCGTAAATATGAACATGGAACACAACATCGAATTTGGATCAGCACAGGTTCCAAAACAACCTCAGAATATTGCTTCGGAACATGCGCCGGAACGTGTCTGACCCTGTGATTTAGACTTTTTTTCAGTCAAATCGCAAGATAAATCTTAATAATCTTTTAATTAGAATTAGAATTAGATGTAGAATTAGAATCAGAATTAAAGATTATAATAATATAATTATATAATTTCATGAACTTGTCAAAGTTAAAATTCATATGACTATTAATCATTTTTAATATATTACTATAGTAATAACAAAAAGATTATCAATTTCATAGTTTTATAAGACTGTTAATTTTTATAATTTTTATTTATTATTCTTTAATTTTATATTATTTTATTATCTATATCTTATTTTTTTATTTTTATATTTTTAATTTAGTATTTTGAAATTTTGAAATTAGTTATTATATTTTAGTATTAGATATTTATTTTTAATATTAATTATTTTTATTATTATCTTTTCAATCTTTTTAATATTATTTTGATCTCTTTTAATTTTATTTTAATATTATTTTTATTTCTTATAATCATTTCTAAATATTACTTAATATTATTTTATATTATTTTTATATTATAATATTATTTTGATATTGATTTTATATTATTTTTATATTATAAATAATTAATATATAAATTTTCTTTCTAGTTTAATAATTATTTTATATAATAAAAATATAAATTTAAAATTCAAAAAATATATAAATAAAAATAATATTCTTTTTAATAATACAAGAATTTAATAATAAAAAATAAAGTATTAAATAATTAATATAATATTAAATAATTATTATTTTTTTCTTGATTACTTATAAATAATTTCTTTTATATATAATTAAAGAATTATTATAATTATAGTTATATTTTTCTAAATATATTTTTCTTGAAATTATAGTAAAAAAAAAGAAAAAGTATCTATTTAAAAAAAGTATATATTTATAGGGATCAAAATATATAGTCTTATAAGCTAGAATTAGAATATATATTTAAAAAAAAGTTATATAATATATATACTTAGAAAGAGTATACATAGAAAGATATAATTTAATTAATTTAAATTATAAATTCTAAAATTCTAAATAAATATATTTAATATAATTTTATTTTAATTTTTAAATTATTAAGCTTATAAATTAAAGTTAAATATTTAATTATAAAATAATATAATTTTAATATTTAATTTATTAATTTTAATTTTTGAATTTAATTTTTATATTAAATTATTAATTATTTTGAATAATATAAATTAATACAAAAAAATTTATATCTTAATATAAAAATTAATAATTACTTCTAATAAAAATTATTTAAATTTTCAATCTTTGTAATTTTTTTATATTAAATAAAAAAATGATTCAAATTAACTTTTTATATTATTATAACTATTCTATTATACTTTAATTTAATAATAAATAAAGTATTACTTTATTAAAAAAAATAAAATAAAATTATTTTTTTTAAAAAAAAGATTTTAAATATTATTACTATTAATTTATAATATTAAAACTTTAAATTATATAAGCAGATTATCTTAGATTTGATAAATGTATATTTTAAATTTAATTAGTAGTTATAAAGATATTAAAATTCAAAGTTAAATAATTAAATTATTTATTATATAATTTTTATATTAATTTTAATCAAATTTTATATAATAAAATCTAAGAAATAATAATTAAAAAAAGTTATTATTAGTAAAAATTATAAAAGATATATAATAAAATTTTTTAATTTAAATAAATCTTAATATTTAATAATTTAATTAAATAAGACAGAATTAAAATTTTATTTTGAAAAAATAATCTATTAATATTTATTAATCTTTTTATATTAAAATACAATATTAATTTTTTAATTTCTTTAATTTTTCTTAATCTTATAAATTATATAAATTTTATATAATTTTATAAATTATTCTTTTTAATTTTTAATTTTAAATAATTATATTTATATATAATTAATTTTTTATTTACTTTTCTAAATTTTTATTTTTTTTATTTTAATTTATATTTTTTTATTTAATTAAATAATATTAAATTTATAATTTTTTATTATTATATAAAATTATTTTTATTTTGAGTAATAATAATATTTTTAATAAGATAATAAATAAGATTAGTAAATTTTAATTATAATTAATTATAATTTAGTAAAAGATTAATAATAAATAAATATTATATAATTATAATAGTTAATTAAAAATTATAATATTTATTATTAATTTTAAGCTAATATTATATATTATAATAATATATAAATATAAATAATTTTTTTTATATAAAAATCAAATTAAAATATATTAAGAATTTAAATAAAATAGATTTTAGTTTTAATAATTTTATTTTATTTAAATAATTAATAATATTAAATTATATTTTTGATTTATTTTATTCTATTATTAATAATTTTTTTTAATTTTTTAATTATATTTTAATAATTTTAATAATTTTTTTATAATATTTATTTTATAATAATTATATTAAAAATATTAAAATATATTTAATAAGTATAATAATTTTTATATTATATATTTTTATAATCTTTTTATTATAAATATTTAAAATTTAATAAAAATATATTATAGTAATTCTCACAATTATAAAATTAAAAGATTAATTTGTTTAATAAAATATAATAAAAATTAAAATTATCTTTGCTAAGATCGAGGGCAAGAATGCTGAACTTGAGGTTGAGAACGCGAAGCTGAGGCAGGTTATTGATGAGAATAG